CCTCGCTGCTGGGGTAGATGACCACCCGAGTAGGGTGAGGAGTCACCACACCACCTCCTCACCCTTTCTCCTGGGGTGCACCGCTACTCTTCCCTCCCGTGGAAGGGTATGAGCGGTTACCACCAGGCTGACTCTGGCTAGCGGACAACGCCCTAGGGTGTTGTGTTTTCTGTGCTTGGGGTGCCCTCCGCTTACCCTTGGCAGGGCCAACTGGCTAGCGGACTTGATCTGAACCCTCTGGTTCATTGCACTCCGAAGCTCCGAGACTGCACCCACCATTCCCTGAACAAAGAGGGTGGGGGGTATTTTGGTCTCATTCCACGCTTTGGAGTCTGACCCCGTAACCACACCGACCAGGTAGCGTTTGGTCCAATGCCTACAGTTCAAAATAGTCATTTTGACTGACCGGAGTCTATGGTGGGTAATTGAATGTAGTGAATATTGACAGGTCAATAGCAGGCAAATGCTGACAGGTCAATAGCAGGCAAATGCTGACAGGTCAATAGCAGGCAAATGCTGACAGGTCAATTTTGTTACTTAGTGATGACAACTTACTCTTTAAGGACATCTGCAATAAACTGACTGACAACTTGTGCTTGCTCACTGGGCGGTCCTGGACGGAATCGTGGTGAACATAGTGGAGGTAAGTCAACATTTGGCACTAGGAAACAAAAATATTTCACTTCATTAGAAATTACGGTTACCCACAATGCATCATGATTTGTCAAATTAGACAAAATCTCGATCCTGAAAAGGCAAATGGTAACAGATACGTGATACAATACACAAATTTAGTTCATTATAAACAAAAAAACAGATGAAAACGTATATCTGGACATAGAGGGCGCTGTTAAATATATTGGTATCAAGTTCTCTAGAAGGGGCAGTCATGCAACTTACCTACAAAACCCTTCTTTGGTTCATCATTGGTTGGTGTACATAATTCCTAAAAAAATTAAATAACGACAATTAGTGAAGACATAAAATTACGTTTTACAATGAAAGTTTCAATAATGTCAGTCGGCACGTGATGAATAAATCAGTTCTTGTCAGGAATAGAGTTTCAAGATTGAATCAAAGAAAGCTTAGAAAAAACTCCCATGTGCTGAAAGTATTGGAGACATTAAAAATAATTCGAAATTACTTGTACTTGTAATTGAAAACATTGTTCTAGAGCATTTTTGTACAAAGTTTCATTGAAATGGAATAATTACAGTCAAACCTCGTTAGTGCGAATATCAAGGTCCCAGGTGAATATGTTCATTATGACCGATGTTCGTAATAACCGATCGCCACTAGAGGGCGCTTTACAGAAACAAACTAATTACCATAAGTCAGGGTAAACAAAACTATGGCGCCATTTTAAACACTAGACCAAACATTAAAAACACACAAATACATGTAGTATTGAAATAAACGTTGTCATGTTTATTAAAATAATATTAAAATGGAAAATACAATTGTATTGTTCATTATTCAAAGTACATGTATAAATAAATGAATAAAGAAATTCTTAGTACGTCCATGCTGGATCGACTGAATTTGTCACGTATGCATACACAAACACACATGGTACTCATTGTATTCGTTTCATGATTTCTCAGTCATAAAAAATAAAATTCGCTATTAACACGGATGGCTATTTTAAAAAGTCGGTAATTTTGGTTTGACGACGACCAGAACAAATCGATGTGAACAGCATGTCCTCGATAGTTGAAAGTTGTTAAAAAATCAAAGTTTCAACATTTTCACATGACTGAAGATAAGTGCGTAATTCGGTCGTAATGTCTCCACGATCTGCAATGCTGGCTTCCTGTTCCACGTCAGGATTTGGCGAATGTACAAACGACGCCTTTCTGAAGCAGTTGGCAATGGTGGTATCGGTAACTTTTTGCCAGGACAAATGAAGCATGTCGATCGCATCTTTGACATTGATCGTGGGTAGGGTTTGACCTGAATCAAGATTCACCAACATTCTCTGAACTACTCGTTGGCGGTAAAAACACTTGAAATTTCTAATCACGCCCTGGTCCATCGGTTGCAGCTTCGAAGTTGTATTAGGCGGGAGAAAGACGAGTTTGATGGCTTTGAGGTTTTTGACAGTTGGATGGGCGGGACAGTTGTCGACAAACATGAAAATTTTTCTTTTCTGGCGTTTGTACTTCTTGTCCAGTTTGTGTAGCCATTCGATGAATCGCTGACCATCCACGCTTTTTTGTTTGCCTTGTAATCGACGGGTAGGGATTTCACGTTTTTGAAACACCTAGGGTTTTTTGATTTTCCGATGACCAGTGGCTTGAGTTTTTCAGATCCATCCATATTTGCGCAAAGCATCACAGTCAATCTTTCTTTACTTGTCTTTCCTCCAGACCATACGTCATTCTTGAATGATAATGTTTTATCCGGCATCAGGCGGAATAATAACCCAGCGTCGGCATTAAAAATATCTCTGGGAGCGTAGCCATCGATGAGACCGGGTAATGTTAACGTTACCCAGTCATCAACCATGTCATCGCTGACAGAAGCAGCTTCGCCGCACACGGATTTGAACGTGATACCATGTTGGGATTTGAATCTCTCCAGCCAGCCATTACTGGCTTTGAATTCGTCATGATTCATTTTCTGTCCTAAATCTTCGGCCTTTCCCTGGAGGATAGGACCGCTGATTGGGACATTCATAGAACAGGCACTGGTAAACAATTTCAGCAATGCCTGCTCAACATCGTCGACTGCTGAAATCCGCATTTGCTTCCGACACGGCTCAATTTTGATGTGTTCGAACATCTTCAAAACATAAATTTTTTTCTTTAAAATCATTGACAGTGTACTGGGTTTAACATCAAATTTTTGACAGACATCGCCATGACGAATGCCCGACTGAATCACTTTGATCATTTGGACTTTACAGTCCAACGACAAGGCACGCCGTTTGACACGAGTTGTTGACATTTTGAAGTCAGGACAGAAACTGGCATCTCACTCATAGTCGCCGTAATTTATCTAAAATTTACAGCGTCCATGCTTCACACTTTTTTATTGTGAATTTTAAAATTAAAAACTTGAGCAGCAAGGCGTCGAAAATGACTAGACACTAGAAGTCACGTACACAAAAGATTTTCGCGCCAAGTCAATGGCTACATTGTTTTTATTTTATGCAGCACAGTTCAAGCCCACTTCCAACAGCGGAAGCGTAACACCACGTATTTAGCGGTTCGTTTTAGGATTTCGCAGCTGCTTGAGTGAATGAAATGTTCTTTTTCAGAGAAAATCCATTCGTACTAAGCGGGTTTTCGTAATAAACAAGTTCGTTCTAAGCGTTGTCAATTACCATAGGGATAATGAATTTTCAAACGGGACTTCCCAGTTGGTTCGTTGTAACCGAGTTTGTACTAACGAGTTTTGACTGTAGTACATTAGATATGAGTGTGATAGCTTAGAATTGGTTAATTATGTAAATTAGGTAATTAATATTTACAGATTTTAACCCACAATTAATCGGGTCTGTCTATTGTCCTATAGCATCCATGTACAAAGTTTCATTGAAATGTGATGATTAGTACTTGAGATATCAGTGTGAAAGTTGAAAATCAATTAATTATGCAAATTAGATAGTTAATATGCATATTTATTTACCCTGAAACTAATCAGGTCTCTGCATAGTCCTTGGGTATCTATGTACCAAGTTTTATTGAAATGTAATGCTAACTACTTGAAATATCAAAAGCTGAAAATTAATTAATTATGCAAATTAGGTAATTAATATGTACTGATATTACCCTAAAAACTATCAGGTCTGTGCAGTGTCATATGATATTTATGTACGAAATTTCATTGGAATCTGATGATTAGTACTTAAGGTATCCGTGGAATAAAACGAAAATTGACTAATTGTTATGCAAATTAGGTAAGTAATATGCACGGACTTTTACCAAAAACTAATCAAATCTGCGCATAAGTTCAGAGCATCTATGTAACAAGTTTCATCAAAATCCAATGAGTGGTTCTTTAGATATCAAATTAGCTAATTATCATGCAAATTAGGTAATTAACGAGCATGGATTTTTACAAAAAACCTAACCAAATCTGTGCATTGGCCCAGAGCATCTATGCACTAAATTAATATGCACAATTATTTATCCGAAACAATCAATCTCTGCATAGTCCTTGAGTATGTAAGTACCAAGTTTCATTGAAATGTAATGCTCACTACTTACCGTACTTATCCGGGTAAGAGCCCATGCCTGGGCAAACGCCCACCCCCCACTTTTGACACAATAAAAGAGTTGAGGTTATATCCGGGCACACGCCCAGGGGGTCTTTTTCTACACAAAAAATAACTATTTTCTATTCATTGACTGTGGTTGTATTAACAGTTGACTTTCTTGAAGACTGTCGTGATACTTATAAAAAATGTTAACTGCGTAAAACAAGGGATGAACGCAAAATAGCTGTGACAGCTTTCTGCCTTCAGGGCAGCGCGTTCTGAATCATAACAGTCAGCAAGTCTATAAAAATATATATTAAAGCAGAAACGGTAGTTCTCTTTTTAAAATATATCGTGGCCCTAAAAATGGCCGGCCGTTTAGTTTG